AATTGTGAAATTTTGTTCACAGGGATGTAGTGGGAAATTGAAAGTAAAATTTGTAACCAATTTTAAATCAAGGGTTTTACATTACGTAAGCTCTTACTCTCTTACTTCTGTAAACACTATTACCTGTTTATTCAATTATCTTTTTGCGTGATTATCTCACACAGGATGTTGATCTGGGTCAAAATACTATTCCCTCACATCAATCTTTTCTGAGTGAACAAGTTGCTCTGTGTGAATGTGTTACCTGTGGGAGAAATTATATCAGCATGAACTTTATTTAGGACAGAAAAGTGTAAGTTTTCTTTTGTTGTCAAGATTTTTAAGTGTTTTCTCTGAATAGGGCTCTCTAATGTGAGCTGGGAAAACAGATACGAGATATGGTTGTGACTTCCAAGGAATTCTCATTTTTCCCATGTAGAAGTTTGGCTTAAGGAAAAACTAACATTTTCCTTGAGGAATTACCACCTAATGTTTTCACAGAGGATATGTGTTTTGATGACAGATTTAGAAACTAATCTCTGGGTCCACACTCTGAAATTAAGAGGAAATGGTAGAGCCTATTTAAATTCTCTTTCCTATGTTGTATCAATCTCACTTCTGCTTGAGTCGAAGTACTTCATACCCCTTGTGCTGAAAACTATCTTCTTCAATCCAACATTTCTGTTTCCTTAAAATGTAGAGACATTACTATACTTAAACTCAGAGGTTAGTGGGCAGAAAAAGATTTGAAGCTTCTCAGTGTTCCTCACTCCCAGAAAACCAGCCACGAGAACTGTGTAGGAAACCCTTTCCAGTGTGCTGCTCCCTGTTTGCTGTGCACTCACGGAATCAGAACAGAGGAAGACAGTGGATGCTAACAGCCACTTACAGAATGAGCACTGAACAATGGACTGACCCATCAATAGCTCATCTGATACTGTCGAAAGGCAGAAATAACTTTCATGTTATTTTTATCACTGTCATGGCTCAGTTGAACCTCTAGATTAGGAAGTATTTTGACATTCTTCAGTATATAAGGTCCATATGGACCAAAACCAACCTGTTCGACATGATTATTCTCATTCTGAGAAAAGGGGAGAGACCATTTGCTGCCCCTTACAGTGGAGCGTGTTGGAGGGATCTAACCATATTAACTTCTGACTGGATTATTCCTGATGACATTTGGAAGGCTGCCTGTGACGAAATAGGAGGCTAGGACAGGCTCAGGGTGTGGAAGGGCTGCCTGCCCTCCGGGAGTACAGGATTACATGGGGTGTTAGATAAATAAGACCAGTGCTTGTGACTTGGCTCCTTTGACCCATTTCGCTTCACATGTGTGGACTTCACACATGTCAGTTACACATTTTTTAATATTGGATTAATTCATCATAAATGGAACTCTTCGTGATGATTTTTCCTTTCTCCCACCTTCCTTGATCTTACATAAAGTTTCCTCTATATTTTTACTTTGCAAAGTTGCTCTGGGATTGTTCCCTAGTAAGTGACATATTCCTGAGTAGAGTTTAAATTCTGCAAGGATGTGGACTGTGCCCCACTTCTCCGGCACCCCCCTTAGGGAGCTGTCCTCAGTGCAATGTAATACAAACCAGCCCATCTGGATGCAGTCTTTGAACCAAGTTGGTATAACAACAAGAAACCAATTAGAAATGTCTTTTTATTATCATCAAGCAAATGTTAGAAACAGTGGTGCCCATATTGAAGGATGCTTTGAAATAGTTTGTAAAACGTTCATCATGAAGATTTGGGAGACGTCTCATTGCTTAATGTGTCATTCTGTTTTGTACAAATAAAAATGTTCATTTGTTACTACTTTATTCCCCTGCATTGTCTTGGTTTAGTGTATGTGGAACTTACATAGGGGAGATGTTTGTGAGCTAGGCGCTCACCCACAGACACTAGTACTTTTCTCTCTTTGTTCCCCATCCTCTTCCATTTAATTTACTAGGGAGGGAGGTAACTTGAATTAGCAAAGCAGCACTTCCCAGACCTCACTTTTGGGATTGACATATCCTCCCATGAAGAATGCATCTTCACTGATCATCTCAAAAATTACAAATGATCAAATAATTAATTCTCTTATGATCAAAAATATAAAACCTGTTAGAAAAATTAATATGCTCATCAGAGGTAACTTATTAAAAGATCTTAACTGCACAACTGTCTCTTTCTACCACGATTGATGAGGTGTAGACTAGAGTTTTTCTTTATTTGTTTCCTATGGAGATTACACTCAACATTTGGTTGAGAAGATAGTTTTACAGATGTTTGCTTTAAAAATTGCTCGGTGTTTAAGGAGCTCTTTCTGGATGGTGTTGCTGACCTTTTCCAGCTGAGTAATCTTTTATTTTCCTTGCTAACTTGTATCAGTAAATTTATCCACAAAAGAAGAAACATCACCCATCTGTGATAAACATCCCTGAGAGTGGGGAGCTTTTACTAGAGCAGTGCACTTTTATGGAGACTATTCTATTTTCAGGGTTGCTGACCTTTTGCCTCCTTATTGGTTGCCATGGTGATGATCCGAGCTTTGCTTAAAAGAGCTTTACCAAAATGAGGGAATCAATCAACTTTTTTTTTAAGTCTTTTATTTTTTTAAGATTTTTTTATTTATTTATCTTTAGAGTGGAAGGGAAGGAGAGAGGGAGAGAAATATCAATGTATAGTTGTCTCTCGTGCGTCCCCTGCTGGCAACTGGCCTGCAACCCAGGCATGTGCCCTGACTGGGAATTGAACTGTGATCCTTTGGTTCGCAGGCCCCGCTCTCAATCCACTGAGCTACACCAGCCAGGGCTCAATTAGCTTTTTAACTGCAATGTATATATTAATAATTGCTAATAACATATATCAAAATAAAGTGTTTAAATAGTTGTTTTTATGAATTGCAAATGATCAAGTGTATCCTGTGGCTTTCTTACAATACCTTTGTGAGCCCATAAAAATATATATACAACTTGAAATGTAAAGTTAAAGAATCAATGCAAAATGGATTATAAAACTCTTTTCTAAGCAAACTCCAGAAGTTGCAAGTACCATGGTCAATGATTCTGAAGCCACGCCAAGTTAGAGAACTCTTTTACACCTTACTATAAGAACACTCAGGGCCAAGCTCTCCTCATATGCACCTGCTCAACTTCTAATGACCGCAAGGCTTTCTGATACATCCAGGAGAAGGCAAGTTGGTGATCTGCCAACTTTCACTAGGACATAGATTATGTGTATTTCCAAAGTTCACTTTAAGTCTTTTACTCATTGGTTGTAGATAGTTGACAGTTTTTAGGGCTAGCGTGAAATTTCCATGAACACAATTTTGAGGAATTGGATTATTTTTTCCTTTAGAATTAAATAATATTTGTTTTCAAATTATATTCATATATTCTGGTTGAAACTGTAAGTAAAATGTAAGTACATTTAATGTAACTGCATGATTGTCAGTTACAAAGAAAGAAGTCTGAGGAGCAGCTTGACTCACAGGGTCCATTGGCAGTGTAATTCATCTAGACTCTAAGGTGTGGGTGTTAGGTTTTGCTCTCTAACTCTCTGCAGGGGTGGGGTGGGGGGGTACAGTTTGCCCAAGGCACCGTAGCCTCGTATAACCTGCTTCTCTCTCTCCAGAGCCTGCATTTTTCTTCTTTTCCTTGATGTTTGAGAACCTAGAATTAGGTTAGAACCCTAGCATTCTGGGCCCACATTCTATCAAATACACCCCAAGGATTATTGACAACAGAAATCGGCAGGCCTGATGTTCGGACCTGGGGATAAAGTGACATTGATGCCTAGGTGAGACTTTTCACTTACCACAGTAATAAGTGAAAAAAGAACTATGTGCTTTTTTTCAAGTGTCAAAATAACTTCTTTTGAAAAACACAGGAAATATCTGACATCATAGATTTTTCATGTATTACTGTTTTTTTTCGAAATTAAAAAGATTTTTTAATGTAGAATGAACTTAAAAAAATTTGGCTGTATGTGTTTTAAAATTAGAATGACAAATTTAATTATATCCTTATGTTATTTGGTTTCAATGATCATTTATTTTTTTCAAACTAAAAATCACATCCTTTACTTACGAAGCACAAAAGTAGTAAAACTTTAAATGACTCTGCTATTCAGGATCTCTGTATTGACCATCTACTGCTGTAAACATGGGGTATAGTGGGGAACAAAGCAGGCTAAGCCCTCCCCTCACGAAGCATATGTTCTTTGGAGAAAATCAGATAATAGATAAATGACTATAAAATGTGCCAGGTGGTGATAAGATCCAGGAATTAAAATAAAACAGGAAAAGGGTATAGAGAATGAATGAGGAATGAGAAGGAAGGACTATTTTAGATAGGGTTGTCAGCCAAGACCATCCTTTCCTGCCAGGATTATTTCATTAGGTTTCTAATTTGTCTCTTCGCTTTTACTCTTGTGCCCCTAGTGTCTTCATGCAGCAGCCACAGAAAATACGAGTTGGATCATATTTCATTTGCCTGCTCAAAATCCTGCAACAGCTTCCATTTAGAGTAAAATCCACTGTCCTTTTAGCCTGCAAGACCTCACGTGATCTTTCTCTTTATTACTTCCTCGCCCCATTCCCTTCTCTCTTTCTCCTTGTTGACTGCACTCCAGGCCTCGGTTGTCCTGAACACACCAGTAGGGCTCTTTCTTGGGCACCTCACACTTGCTGTCCCTCTCCCAGCACGCACTTCCCTGAGACACCTTCCACTGTTGCTCCCTCGAATGGCCCAGTATCTTTTTGACCACATCATCTAAAGTGGCATCCCCCTCGCTCTGTCGACAACCATTCCTAGCTGCAGCATAACCATTCCTAGCTGTGGCATAATCTTGGCTCCCTTTCTCCATCTTTGCTTATGGTACAGAGCCTTTGTCAACTGACATAAGTGAACACTGTTTACTGCACACCGTAGATGTGAAATTTTGGTGACTGCATCTCCAATATCTAAAATGCTTTTAATGAGTTGATTTATAGTCATGTTCTTTTATTTTTTTAACTGCAGCATCACCCAATGCCCCAAAACTCGGACCCATGGAGCTGACCGTTGTCATTACTGTGCCAGTTTGCCTCCTGTCCGTGGCTGCAGTGCTGACCATTTGGGCACGCCAAGGCCGACAGTGCACACGCCGCAAGAAAAAGAGACAGAATGTGGAGGAGGCCCTGTCTGAATGCAATCTGGTAAATGCTGGGAAAACTCTGAAAGATCTGATTTACGATGTGACCGCCTCTGGATCCGGATCTGGTATGTGCCTGTGGTTCATTTTCCAGTAAGGAAGCTCTTATTTCAAAATAAATAAAAAGAATTTTTTTAACAGAAAGAGCCCCCATATTACGAGTTCCATCGTTTAAAACGCTTGTGCTACAAGGTGAGTTCTGGCATAGAAGCTTGCTGTAGGATTTGTTGAAGAGAAAAAAACCCATCGTGGCCTAAAGAATTAAGTTGTTTCAATTGGCTTTTGTGCCTTTAGGTATTCAGATTCTCATTCTGGCACTCCTTCCGAATTTATTTCTAAAGCAAGAAAGAGTTTCTCTGCTCTTTCCTCCCCTCCATTATGATTAGCCATAATTACTGTTGCTCTTCTGATACTGTTTTATGGGCATGAAGGAATTACTGTGTTTAAGGAGTTGAATTCTGGGGAAGAGAACTCAGTTATGCAAAGAGCATGTTTGCTTGTGGTTATGAAGGTCTTCACAATCTGTAGGCACCCTTGGGATGTGTGGGTGGAATTACCAGGGGGCTGGCCCAAAATCAAAGTCAAGAATATGTTCTTAAAGCATAGAAACAAAAGATGAAAGGGAACAGCCTGGCATCCCTGGGCTGGCTTTTGCTGCCAAGGTTGTGCGATAATTCTTTTCCTCTTTAACGGAGCTCCAGAACCCCTGGTGAAGCAACTCCAGAACCAGGTCGTGTTGGCCTAAATGAGCCTTTCTCATAGCACAAAGCATCTGAGGGCTTTTGGGGTTTCTGGTGATGAAGCAGAGTCTCTCCCCTGTAATAACAAGCTCCCTAAAATGGCAGCAGGTTCCTTGCTCTCAGGTATACTCCCGGAAATCCTGTCAGCGTGTGGTGTTGCAGAAATACGAATTAGGGCGAGCCTAGGTGAGCCACTTCATACACTCTTGCTTCCCCCCTTGCTTTGGAAGGATCACTAAGGATGATTATCCCAAACAGATTTTAAGGAGCTCCCCCTGGTCTGTAGGAGCATCTAGGCAGGCACGAATGACAGGAGCAAACAAGAGAGGGCCATTATTAGCATCTCTATGAGCATTCATATGTAACATGATGCAGCTATGGACTCACCAAGGAAACCAGGAAAGAGAGGCCTAATCATGTCGCCCAGAGAGCCCAGCCAGTTTGCTGCTTCTGGGCAAGGTTGCCTGCTCTCTCTCTAGCCCAGATCTCACTGTTTATGCTCTTACCACATATATTTGGTGGTGTATCCTGAGTGAAAGAGTATTGGAAAAATGTCTCCAAATTGCAAAGTTTATAAAACTAAAGTCAAAATTAAATTATTGAATAGAAAGATGGCATTCTTTCTTTAAAAGTCAGACTTGTTCAGATTCAGTCCCCTTCCCTTCCTTGGGTATCACATGTTGAAGCCCGCTGTGCCATGATTTTTGGAGCACTGGCAACATTCCAGGCACAGACTATGTGCGCAGAGAGTTCTGATTTGTGCCAAGTTCCTTGAAACCTGAAATAATTTCTTTTTGAGGTTCAAGTAATTAAGTAACCAGCTACTTAATTACCACCAAGGCATTTCAGTTCATCTGAAATGTTAGGCTAAAATGTGTATTTTAGAGCAACTCTTTGAATACTTTTAATATGACCAAGGATTTTCCTTTCAAGTACGTGTAATGGAGATTTTATAACAGGGGACTGTATATTTAGTTTAAGAAAGTAATCATGAGCCAGGGCATAAAATAAAAAATTAACATTAACTTTTTCCTGTTTTTGTGCATCTTTAAATCCAACTCTGGATTTACTGGCTACTGGACTCTCTTCTTTCACTTAGTCTAAGATCTCTCCTAAAAAGAAAGCTGTAAATGTACCCATGCATGCATGACTTTTTAAATGAGCAATCTGAAAAAATTTTAGGCACTTTTTCCCTAAGTCAGCTGCATATACTTGGCAGTGACCTCGTCTTAGACTCAGTGACGGCAGCACTGCCTCCGATAACCAGAGATGGCTCCATCTGCACTCAGGCTTCTGTCACAAATGCTCGCCCCTAGGGAGGGGATCGGGCAGCTTGGCTTCCCTCTGCTTCTCTTAATTGGCCAGTGACCTTAACTGAGAGGCAACTCTGTCAAATGTCGAGAAACAAAAATTGTGAAGCTTATCCTTGACCTGGTCAGGGACAAATTTCAAAGACATGTAATGCCTGTAAGAGAAGAAAATGGACTGGTGTTTTCCTGGGCTGCCTTTGAGAGTGGATTGTGTCTCAGGTGGCTGCTAAGAGACTGGATGGGTTGCTGCTTTTCTCTCATGGTGTAACACTTCTGATGGATGGTGACATTGTGAAAGGTGCCTTTCCATCAGACAGGCACCATCAGACAGCAGCCCCTATGAGAGTATAAAATGAACCTATGAGGAAAAGCAATGTGTGTGAATCTTCAAATGAAATCTCTAAGTGTGTAACAGAAGAATTCAATTATTTTGGGTGGTTACTTTGAAAGATACTGAGACCACTTTCATTGAGTTTTACTGTTTCACCTTAATTGCTATGCTGAGTACTTTAGGTAATGTCTTTCTTTGTCCCTGGTCCATGGCATTGATCATGTGCTTGATCGATTTGCAGTTTGCAAACATTGGCTTCTCTAGTTCTCCAGCCAAATATTGTTGCTTTGTGATTGGTAATGGTTGCTGTTGGTGATGTGTGTGTGTGTGAGTGTGTGTGCAAGCTGGGGAAAGGAGGAGAGAGATTGGAGTTGTGATTTGGCCTAATGATTGTTAGTACCACTTTTATTGTATGTGGGCAAGTGGTAAAATTGACTGTAGCCTGCAAAGATAGTGCATATAGTTTGCTGCTAGAAATCTTCCCAACAGGGGAGCAATGCATCATATCCTTTAAACGGCGAGGGAGCAAGAGTTTGGACTAAAATCACTGTTTTAGTTGTGAGTCTGCCTCCCACTAGCAGTTTATTCCCGGGCCAGTCCACAATGACTGCAAGCCCCCAATTTTCTCCTCCCTAAAGTGACAAATTTGAACCAGATGCTTTCTGGCTGTGGGGCTTTGTGACTAATTGTTGAGACTCATAATGGCCAACTTGTGGTCTGTGCTTCTTTAGTCATGGTGGATGCTTCTCACGATGATGAGAACGTGTGAGTAAACCACGGCTCATGTCAGGAGCAGGGGTGAGTCCTGCAGGAGCTCACACAGTCTTGCTCTGAGGGTTTCCGAGCTATCGAGGGCAGTGGCAACAACTAAACATGACTTTCCAGAATACATTCTACTGGAACCTCTTTAACTATTTTCCTCTAATTATGAGTCATAAATACCCACTGTAGAAATTAAAAGTTAGAAAGAAGCTTATCACAATTTACCTCAATTCCACTATATAGAAATAGCATTCAGTATATTTTCCTCTCTGTCTTTTTCCTGTGCATGTGTTTAATAACTAGGTACACTTAGTTAGGTGGGTATAATTTATGTGCTTTTTTATATAACACAGCAAAAGTATTTTCCCATATCATTAAGAAATGCCTCTTCATAAGAAGCGTCATTATTATTGGCCTTAAATTATTTGGCCTATGATGTAATATTAAGGACTAATGATTACTGAGTATGTGATATGGTAAGTACTGTGCTATGTACTTAACATGCTTGTTAATTCTCACAGTGTCCCTGTGAGACAGGTGATGTTATTGCCTCCTGTTTTCCAGACAAGGAGGCGAAAGCTCCGAGAAGTTAAAAAACTTGCCCATGGTTAGTTACCAATGAAAAGCTGAAATTTGAACCTGGGGTCTTCTTATTTGTCCTCTTAATCTCTGCACTATATTTAACAATTTTCTATTGTCAGACACTTTTCCTTATGTTTTCTATAAATAATGATACATTAAACATTTTGGGATGATTTGGTTTGCATTTGTATCAAATCTTTAGGATAGAATTATAGAGGTAGAGTTATTAATTAAAAGAATATAATATTTACATGCACTCTTTGAATTTTTTATTCCACAGAAAATATCCATTTGATATTTTCTATGATGGTACCTTGCTTTTAGTATAACATGGATATCTTACTTGCTTGTTGAATTTGATTCTTCACTTTCTGATTTTAATTTGGTGTTTACAAAAAGCTCAAAGAATTCATCTGAATTTCCAGTTGTATTAGGAACCATATATTTTATTTTAAAGGCTACCAGCATTTTTTAATACTTTTGTATACTTAGTCACCTGACTGGCTTTAGTGCACAAATCAGGGAGATCTGTGGCAACTTTTAAAATCAGATATCTGCAGCAGCCGGTTATGTTCAAGAAAAGTTTATTTGTGATATGAGAACAGAAGTTCATATTAAGAATTTGGAATATTTCTTTCAGTATACTTTGCCATTTAAAGTTTGGTATAAGGGTCCTTATTTCTTAAAAATTAGTAAAATTATTAAAATGTTTAAAATTTCACTTTTTTTTATGTGAAAGGCATGGTCATCCCAACAGTTGTTTTCTGGCACTTCTTGTTCTTAAGCACCAATTCCATCTTTTCCTTGGTTAGGTTTACCTCTGTTGGTTCAAAGAACAATTGCCAGGACGATTGTGCTTCAGGAAATAGTAGGAAAAGGCAGATTTGGTGAGGTCTGGCATGGAAGATGGCGTGGGGAAGATGTGGCTGTGAAGATATTCTCCTCCAGGGATGAAAGATCTTGGTTTCGAGAGGCAGAAATTTATCAGACGGTGATGCTGAGACATGAAAACATCCTTGGTTTCATTGCTGCTGACAACAAAGGTATTTTCAGTCTCATTGGTTTCAACAAATAAAGTGTTATGTCTGTTCTCAGGTGAGAATAAATCATCTTTTTGTTTTGGTAATGTCTACATAAAAGTCTGATTTCTTTATTGAGGGAAGAAAACTTCTTTCCTCTTCTCAACAGATAAATGTGCATAACCATACAATAAAACAGAGCAAACCTGTGATAGGAGATCCCGAGGTTACTGTAGCCAGGTTGATATTTGAAATACCTGATGACTGACTGGTGAACCACCCAATCAGATCAGAAGCTTCAACTGAAACAGAGTCCTGGGAGAAACATGCCGTACTGGGCTTCATCCCTTTAGTTGATTGGTCATAAAGAGATCTAGAAAGAAGATCTAGACTGGAAAGAAGTATTCCAAGTCATGAAATCCAAAGACCTACATCCAAGATTGCTTTGTCCAGCAAAGCTTTCAATTAGAATGGAAGGGCAGATAAAGTACTTCTCAGATAAGGTCAAGTTCAAGGAGTTCATCATCACCAAGCCCTTATTATATGAAATGTTAAAGGGACTTCTCTAAGAAAAAGAAGATAAAAAAAGGTGAACAGTGAAAGGACAGCAAACTCACAGTTATTAACAACCACACCTAAAACAAAAGCAAACTAAGAGGACAGCTAGATCAGGAGTGAACCATAGAAAGGAAGATCTCAAGGAGGGTTAGCAACAGGGGAGTGGGAGAAGGAGAAGGGGGGAGAAGGTACAGAAAATAAGTAGCATAGACCATAGATAGAAAATAGATAGGGGGGAGGGTAAAAATAGTATGGGAAATATAGAATCTAAAGAACTTGAGATACGTGGTCATAAACTAAAGGGGGGGAATGGTGGGGGAGGGGTGTGCAGAGTGGAGGGGAATGAAGGAGGGAATAGAACAACTGTAATGGCATAATCAATAAAATATATAAAAAAAGAGATCTAGAAGTGTCTTGGGGTGTGTGTGTGTGCTGGGTTGGGGGGGTTGCTTTGGGTGTCCAGGTCAAAGGAATGACACTGGAAAATTTTCTCTGTCTCTTTTTTTTACATTATTTTTACTGTTGTTCAAGTACAATTGTCTCCATTTTCCCCCACCCCAGCCATTCCCACTTCCCACCCTTGATCTTACCTGCCTTTTATTTTGTCCATGTGTCCTTTTTTGCCAATGATACCTTAGACAAGGGTTTGATCTCCAAAATATATAAAGAACTCATATGACTTCACTCTAGGAAGACAAACAACCTGATTAAAAAATGGGCAAAGGACCCAAAGAGGCAATTCTCCAAGGAGAACACACAGAAGGCCCAGAAACATATGCAGATGCTCAGCATCACTAGCCATCAGAGAGATGCAAATTAAAACCACAGTGAGATACCACTTCATACCAGTCAGAATGGCCATCGTAACCAAATCAACAAACAAGTGCTGACAAGGTTGTGGAGAAAAGGGAACCCTGGTGTACTGTTAGTGGAAATGAAGACTGGTGCAGCCACTGTGGAAAACAGCATGGAATTTCCTCAAAAAAACTAAAGATGAAACTGCCTTTTGACCTGGCAATTCCACTGCTGAGATTATACCCTAAGAACCCTGAAACACTGTGAGTTTTCAATAGCAGCTCATAACTAATCAAGACAGAAATATTGCAGTAGTTCGATAATTGATACAAATATATCAGTAAATGCTAGCTGAATATTCACCTTTGCTAGGACTATGCTTTTTCATATGTACAGCAGGCTTAAACTCCAGGTCTCAAGCTTTCTGTGAACATTATGGGAATGGTAGCAAGCCAGACAATTTTAGTGAAATTTTCTATTAATGTACTCTGAGTATAATTTATATCTTGAGATTTAATATTAACAGCTCCAAATGGTTTTACTTTTTGAGTTTTGTGGAACAAGACAGAGTGTCAACTTTCTGGTATTTAAATAATATTGATAAAAGACCTAAATAATCAGGGACTGGATATAAACTTTGTGGATTACTCATGCTCTTGTTTCTCTTTTTGCATAGCTTTTACTAATTTAACTGTGAGATAGTTTCTTTACAGGGACACAGGGAAAAAAGGTGAGCAAATCTCCAGTCAACTTTTTTTAATTCGAATCAGTAATGCATGAAGAACTTTGGGAGGTAGAACTCATGACCTTTATCTAAAAAACAAACTATCTCTGGATATCCAGTATGCACCAATACCTATGAACATTGAAAATCTATGATTATTTTTATCTTATATAATCAGGATCATGAAAATACTCATTATTAATTAGGCAGCAAAAGAGAAGCCTAGTTATTGTACATTTTGTCCGTGATTTCATTGGCTGATAATTTGTCTTATCTGATTTGCCAGAGAGAAACTGAGTAAAGCCAAGATGAGCTTAACGAAGAGATTCTTTTCAAATTCTTTCAAAATATATACAGCCTGTTGAAAATGAAACATTTCTTATTAAACTGTTAAGAAGTTCTTTTCCTTCTTAATGTTTACTAAACTCCCTGCTGGTTTGAGGGGTGTCAAACTCATTTTCACTGGGGGTCACATTGGCCTCACGGTTGCTTTCAAAGGGCCGAAATAATTTTAGGACTGCATAAGTGTGACTACTCCTTAACAGTTAAGGAGTCGAAATTACATTTGGCTTTTTGAGGGCAACTGTGAGGTTGATGTGGTCCCTGGTGAAAATGAGTTTGACACTCCAGGGTTAAATTAATTAGCAATATGGTAAAAGCAGTAATACCTGTAGTTATATGGATTATCTTGATGGAATAATTTAATCATAATGTTTATTGGATTATAAAATAATATACACAAGAAAGAGTGTTCTTGATTTTCTCTTCTTCAGTTACTGGTCTGTCTCTGTCCATGGCTTACTTGTCAGTGGCATTGTGCCTGATTCTAAATGTCTCTATCACTTTCGTCATCACGCATTTTTGTATCTTTTGTAACACTTACAGTTTCACTTTTTAGTCAACTGTCTGACAAAGACATTGATGTGCGAAGGCAAAGATAGCCACTGGTGTTAGTCTGGGAGAGAGGTGTGAGTAAGGGTTAGTTTTATATGAGGTCAGTGTATCAGTGAACTTTACCATGCTGTGTTGATTTTTTCATTACTAGGAAATTCTTTCACCACTGGATTTGGAGATTAAAGGTTTGGATAATGAGGAGCTTGTGTACATAAAACACTGCATAAAAATTTCCTTAGCAAATATTCATTACAGTTTCATTTCTCTGGGCATCAGAACTGGTCAGGACTGCCCAGGTCTATTGTAGGCACTTTATCTGGGAACTAAAGATAACTGCAGGAACTCTAAGAGCTAGAGAAGTTTTAGGCTCATTTCTCTTCTGCTAAAAATCTTTCATAAGCTCAATTAGCTTTTGGTTAAATGGGGTGAATTATTTGAAAATGTCTAGTCATTGTGTTTGGCTTTTAATGGAAGCTTTTGGGGGAAATCATCAATTTCATATTTGAAAAGCGAACAACATGAAGATTCTTAGAATGTTAGAACTCCCAGAACAGTAAGCATACATTGTGTAAATTTGTTGACCCGTTTTTGTTAGTATAATCTTTTTTAAAACCTCAAGAGTAATTTATAACTCAACACTATGCCTTAATGCATCTCTCTGTAGTTCCTCCTGTAATCTGGTTGCCACTACCAGCAAAGTGTTGATACAGAGGGAATATGAAAGAGTTGCTCAGTTAGAATCTCTGCCTTGCTGCTTCTGGTAGCTATGGTGGGTACATGTGACTGGTTGTAATATATCAATGTCTTCAGAAACTCATTAAGAATTTTTACTTTACTGACTCAAAATGTAAGCATTTTCCATGAAGGAATTAACTTTGCTTCATTAATGATATAGATTTACTTTAAATACTGACATTTATTAAAAGCCTTTGGCTTCTTTCTCAATGTATATTTATAGCAACGAATTTCTTTTCCTGTTAGATAATGGAACTTGGACTCAACTTTGGCTTGTCTTGGAATATCACGAACAGGGCTCCTTGTATGACTATTTGAATAGAAACATAGTGACCGTGGCTGGGATGATCAAACTGGCACTTTCAATAGCTAGTGGTCTGGCCCACCTTCACATGGAGATTGTTGGTACACAAGGTACGTATTTGTATTTTCTTTCCATTTTCTTCCCCTTCAATATCAAGATAGAAACACTAAGTTGTATTTGAGTGTTTAGTTGCACTTTTCTTCAGTATAATGATCAAATGTAAAGAAACACTGAAGGTACTTTATAAAGCTGAAGATTTTGTCATCACAGCACCAACTCTCATCAGCATCCATGTCGTTTTGTGTATCATCCATAATAATATTTTTATTCCTGGTGACTCCATCTTTGCCATTTAGCGTGTATGCCCGGGAGGTCTTGCTTTGGTGGCAAGTGCTTTATATTCAGAAAATACAAATAGTGTAAATGTTTACCTTTGATAATTAAAATAATTGGAAAGAGTAATGTGATCTTGAAAAAAATATTTACATATTATGTACTTGAAGGCCAAGTGATACTCATTGTCTTTTCTATTTATTAAGTTAATAGGGAATTGGCACTAGAAAGTCATTAGCCTAGTCAGGGTAATGGTTCTCAAATTTGGATTCATGATCCTTTTAATCTCTTAAAAATTATTGAAAACTCATGAAAGATTTTATATATGTGAATTATGTCTATTAATATTTACTGTATTAGAACTAAAATCAAGAATTTAAAAAAATGCCAATTTACTTAAAGCAACAATCATTATTTAACCAATTAAATAGTAGCACTAACAATTTTTAAAAATTTACGTAATTTCTTTGTAACACAAAAACCAGTCTGGTAAAAATTATGGTTTTGTTTTGCATTTTTTTGTGAATCTCTTTGTTTGGATTTTCATAGCTGTTCTTTATTCAGTCTGTTCTAATATGTTGTTTTGGTTGAAGTATGTGAAGAAAAGTTGACTTCACACAGATATGTAGTTGGAAAGCAGTCTCAAGGACTCCCAGGGATTTTAGGGTCTCCTCTGACAACGGCTGATCTAGGTAGTAGTTTGAAACTTGTTCTATAAGAGAATAGTCTCTGTTTTTATGTGGACATAGTAATGCTAATTTTTTCTCTGTTCACTCAGCAAACATATATTAGTGGCTACTAAATGTTACCTAGTGATCTAGGCACTGGGGACATGGTGATGACTAAGAGACAGTCTCTGCCCCTATGCAGTTTATAGTCTAGCTGAGAGAGACACATAATTAAACATGCATATGAAAAAAAACAAGACAATTTCGATAGTGATAAGAGCTATAAAGAAGGCAAAATGGGACACTCTGATGGAGAATGACCAGGATAACAAATGGGTGGTCCACGAAGACTTCTTTAGGTAACATTCGAGCCAAGTCTTCAAATCCTTTTGGAGAGATTGCATCTTCGGTAATGAAGAAAGTGAATATGCTTTTCTTATGCTTCACAGGTAAACCTGCCATTGCTCATCGAGATATAAAATCAAAGAATATCTTAGTGAAGAAATGTGAAACTTGTGCCATAGCAGACTTAGGACTGGCTGTGAAGCATGACTCAGTCCTGAACACTATTGACATACCTCAGAATCCTAAAGTGGGAACCAAAAGGTGGGGTAACTCACTGTGGTAGCACAGTAAGACTTATGACTGCCCTGTGAGCATGAGTGCCTGGGATCTGTGTAGCGAGGGGGGCAGCAGGTCCAAATGGGAAGTCATCAGGCCCAAGAAGACAAAAAGTCTTCTCTGGGACACTGGAAAATTAGTGGCACAATGGTTAAAGGGCAAGGAGAGTTGACACTTTGGTCATATAGAAAGTCGAATTTGGCCGATGGTGAGGACTGGTGAGTAAGATGGTGGTGTGTTGTTTTTAGTGTGCCACATGCAGCGTACATCCTCTACAGCCTTTATACCTAATAAATGTGAAACTCAGGGCTAGTTCCAGGTGCCCAGGCTCTAAACAACAGATACAGAATCCATATAGTGGACTAGAGAGGTAGGGACTATTAATTATATACATATATATGTATATATATTCAGAGAACACAATAGAGCACACACAAGTGTATATCTGTACATACATACATACAGCAGGTATATATGTACATACATATATACAGCATGTATATATACATATATGTGTATAACATATACATAACAATAATAAATATTATTAATAGTCTTTCACCTTGCTAGTCCACCATATTGATATATGTATGCTCTATTGTGTTCTCTGAAAAATTGAAAATATATGTAACAACTTATGTATTTACCTATAGTGGTATTTACCGTTAAGTCTCCCAGGTTGGTGCGTACTAAGATAAAGAGAGTTTGGACGCAGTTCCCACTCTCAGGGAACCAACTCTCTGAAAGTTGGTAAAAAACTGAGTATACCACACACGTCAGGACAAGTCCATTCGTAGTGGCATGTCTGGTGTTTTCTTGCTATGGCCAGCCTGTGGCTGTAGGGCCAACATGCTTCCATTTCCTTTTATTTGTATTTCAGGCTCTGCTCCACTTTGGCACAATTCCAGATTTCTTGACCTTGAAATGAGAAGCAACCAAAACATTTCCTGGAGTTGTTAAAGGCCCTTGAGGGTAGAGAATTTCTAAGCTGGCATAGTTGGCCTCCAAGCCATATTTGAGAATCCAGGCCAGTTCCTCCGAGTCCCTTCACTTGTTTCCTTGGAGACTTTAGTAAGACCCCAGAAACACTTCAGGACAGTTCATTCAGACTGGGCAGCCTGAAGGGAACTCTTTTCTTTTCCTTATAAAAAGCAAGCTTTGACTTGCCTTATCTGACTGTCCCCACATTGGGGACCCTCAGGAAAGCCTTGGATGCTGGATTCCCTTAGGGGATCTAAACCTTGTAAAAACAGTTTGGGAGTGTGCTGCATCCTCATTGGAATATTCTGAAAAGTTCTCAAAATCTTCCTGGGACAGCTAGGCTCAGTCAGGTTCAATGAACTGTAGATTACTTTGATTTGGTCCTGTTAAAACAAAAGTGTAATCTTGTGGGAGCCAATATATGAGATGTATATATTGCTTGAAGCCAATATGTGATAAAATTGCTCCTTCAGAGCAGATATTTGTGGAATGCTGCTGAGCCTTGCTTGGCTTGGAGCTCTGGGCCCATGTGAATAAAACGTACTCATTGCCCTCAGGAGCTTTCCTTGGCAACAAGCTACTGGTGGAAATTGAGTTTCATTTCTCCTGCTGAGTGTTTTGCTTACTGAATCCCCTCCAGCTTGTACTTTCCAAGTATTTGGCTCCTGGCACTCATGCTCTAATATGAGGGGATGACCCCTAGTTCTATTTAAAATATTTTTTAAATTATGGTTGATTCAATAACTATATTATTTAATTTTTTTCTATTATTGTAGTTCAGATTCCTGTGTGAAGTTTAATATAAGCTATCTCAACTTATATTTTATATCAGGATTTATTAAGGTTGTGTTTTACTGGATTGCCATAAATTCATACACAGAATCTGAATAGTGTGTGTTTTTGAAGGTATATGGCCCCTGAAATGCTTGATGATACGATGAATGTGAATATCTTTGAGTCCTTCAAACGAGCTGACATCTATTCTGTTGGTCTAGTTTACTGGGAAATAGCCCGAAGGTGTTCAGTTGGAGGTAAGAATTTGCACGTATTCTTTGAATCTGTCTTCCCTTGATATTCTGAATACAACATATGATGTGATCTTTTTTTTCCTAAACACTATTTTGAATTGTTTCTTAATATTTGAGAGAATACCTTTTGGCATAACTCTTAAGTGGTAAAAATGGAGGGTCCTACATACAACGGAGATTTTATATTATGATTACCACTTAGGTGGGGGTTGACAGTTCTCCTGATATTCTAATTTTCATAATGACACTTTACGAAGCACTTGAAACTTTTATTTGAGTTTGCATGCAGTTAGTTGTATTCCTATTTTATGCCAGAAATGAAATCCAAAGAAGTTCAATGGCTTGTCAAGGCCACAGGACTTGAACAGAAGTCTTCTGATTCTTAGGCTTTTCTTTTCTTTCCTGTGATGAGTAATGTGTGGGGGATAAAGTGGAGGTTGGTGGTGAGCAAAGATGAAGTTTCTGACTATGGTTCCCAGCAGGTTAGAGATGAATAATGAGAGGAAGAATCCTAGAGAATGAAGCCCTACAATTGCATTCTGATGGAACTGTTGCCATCAGTGGAGAAAAGTAAATGCTGGGGTTAAATGGTGGTAGAGCAGGGGTGTCCAACCTCTGGCCTGTAGGCACATGTGGCCCAGGATGGCTATGAAGGTGGCCTGACACAAAATTGTACATTTACTTAAAACCAGTTTTTTGCTCTTTAGTTTTCATCTGTATTTGTGTATTTAATGTATGGCCCAAGGCAACTCTTCTTCCAATGTGGTCCAGAGATGCCAAAATGTTGGACACCCCTGGTAGAATTTTCTCTTTCAAGTGAGACAGACTTAGGGCTTGAGACAGACATGGCTTAACACCTTCCCGAACATCTGACTTTAGGCAAGTTACTCAGTCTCATTTTGCTCATTTGTAAAATGAAGAAATAATAAAAACTGACTCCACTGGCTTTGAGGATTTAATGGATTACTTCAATTAATTTATGTGAAGCTTTTAGTACAGAGCATGCTCCTCGTCAAACATTCAGTGAAAGAACTGTCGTTATTAAGATACTGTCACTTTTTGTATTTTGTATTGATCTCATTTTGTCTTACATCGATCTCATTTTAAAAAATTGGAAAACTTACAAGTTAAAATTGTATTTGAATGAGAAGACAAACTTTTCCCCATTATTTATAGATGAGATAACAAAGCATTCTGGGAGATGAAACTATCTGTAGAAGCCAAGTACAGTGGTGTGGAACATGGACACTGGTGTCCCCGAGCCTGGGATTCAGGTCCGCATCAGCCACTTACTAGCTGTGTGACCCTCAGCAGAGTCATGCCTTTCTTTGTGCCTCAGTTTCCTTGCCTTGTAAAATTAAGATAATATGGTACCTTCTTTAGTCAGTGGTTTTGGGAAATGATTAGTTAAAACATTTAAAGGGCTTAGGACATACTTGGCAAATAGCAAGATTCAAACAGGTTTGTCATTATTTTTTAAAATTTTATTGCTGTTTGTCTAGATTTGCTTTTTGGTTTTTGTCCTTAAGTTTCCTTCAACTGTCAGAATAGTAACATAATTAAACATGATTTGAAGTTCATTTTTAATATTATGCTACATCTTAAATATTTTCAATTAAAAAGACTATATTAATTCAAATGATTTTATAAGGAAATTCTTGAATTCAAGTACTATTCTGGTAACTGAGGTTTAGTCTTTGTATTTGAGACTCTTTAAATATTAACCTTCATGATGAACCATCCACCTTCATATACTTTGGTTGCTTCTTGGAAACAGTCTCAGGTAAAGAAGTTCTAAAATCCAAATGTAAGAAATTTAGTTTTTAAAAGATAGCCTAACAATTTTCAAAAAGAGAAAGCTATTTTATTTTGGAAAAGTTATTTAATGGAGAAATATACTTTATTCCTAAAGCAATGAGGCCATGCTATAAATTTTGCACTTAGGTGTTACATTTAAATTACATAATAGAATGTTAGGTAAAACAAAATTTGCATAACTTTCATAATATAAAATACATTTTATATAATTATTAAATTATATATTTAATATATTTACATATAAATTGTATATGATATGTGGCAGATAACTATATAAAAGTATTGCATAAAATAACTACATATAATTTTTGTATGAATTATGTATAAAATTATATAATTTTTTATAATATAAAATTTTATAAACTTATATGATAACTATTCAACTGAGTGCTTTAAATTTATATATTTAGTTTCATAGTGATAACATAATTTTAATAACCCCAACTTTCTGGTTTTCTGTGGTGACACTCGTGCCTAGAAGATTTAATTGGTATTATTTTAAACTAGGCATTTTTGTGTATTATTCACATGGGGATACTTATTGTACAAATTTCTTATAGGAATTGTTGAGGAGTACCAGTTGCCTTATTATGACATGGTGCCTTCAGATCCCTCAATAGAGGAAATGAGGAAGGTTGTTTGTGACCAGAAGTTTCGACCAAGTATCCCAAACCAGTGGCAAAGCTGTGAAGTAAGGCTAAGTTCTTATGCATATTTTTTCTATTACAATTTTGAGGTAAGTATCAGGGAGGATTGTCAGAGACCATATAGTTCTTCTCCTTTAATACAGGTGTCCAGTTCATTTCATATATATAGGTATGAAATGAAGTAGACAAAGGGAATAATATATATTCTATATATAAATATGTATTTATATGTATTCGTATTATATAAATACAAATATATATATATATATGAAAGTTATGGGGCATTTCATATATATATCGCTTTTCATATATATATGGTGAAAGTTATGGGGCATTTACAAACCCTGACATCCCAGTGATTTTACACAACAAGACTTTATTTCTTGCTATTCAAAGTCCCCTACAGGTTAGGCAACTTTCAACAACATCTGTGCTCATTGTGTGATTCAGTAATCCAAGTAACTTTGGTCTTGGGTTGCTATTCCAACACACAGTTTTTAGGTATTTAGGTCAAAAGAAGAGAGGAGCTGGATCCATCCATTTTGTCGCAATGGGTAAAAATCTTATTCTATTTTATGGCTGAGTAGTATTCCATTGTGTAAATGTCCTAACCTCCTCATATTGTTTTAAATATACTATTTGTTCATCAGAGCTTAGCATCAATTCCTGGGTGTGTGTGGTTTTGCTTCTCTCGTAGTGTGTTCTGTGTGAGTAAAGTCTTTGTGCTTTTCTCTCTTAAAGGCACTCCGAGTCATGGGGAGAATAATGCGCGAGTGTTGGTATGCCAACGGGGCAGCCCGCCTAACGGCCCTCCGTATAAAGAAGACTATTTCTCAACTTTGTGTCAAAGAAGACTGCAAAGCCTAATGATGATAACCATGTGGAAAGGAAATCTCTTGCAGCTTTCTCTCTCATTTTTCCTCTTTATGTGAATGTTTTTGCCCCTCTTTTGTTGTTGTTGTCTACCTCAAAGATAATGCAGTTCAGTATTTAAGTGCTCAAAGGCAGCATGAAAAAATAACTAAGATCAAGCAGGAGTTGACTCTATCCAATCTTCATGTTGTCTTTTAATATATTTTTAAAAGCAGCACATCAACTCATCTATTTAATAAGAAAGCTATTGTAAAGTGTAAAATAAGCTATAAAAATAATAAATGTCATTTAGGCTTTATTTTACTTGAGTCGGGAGTGTATGAATGAATGGAGAAATGTGTTGAGAAAAGCGAGATGAAAACAAACATCTTCATCAAAGATGTGAATTAGAGCATTTTGCGTCTAACCAAAACTTTCCATTATACAATCTGTGGTATCCTCTATTTTTTTAATTAAGCAGATCTTTTAAAAAATTAAATATTGTCCTATGTTTTAGTATATAAAACATGGAAAAGTGGAGCTGCTTAGTTGGAGGATGGAAGCCAGGTCAGGATGCCACTCCCTCAGTCCCCCCCCTTCCCTTACTCTTTATAATCCATCACATGGTGCCCCCTGAAGAAAACAGTTTGGGAGCCACTAAAGTTGCTATACTTTCTCATTTATAAGTGAAATACCTGACATTCTGAGACATGGAGTAATGTGTCAAAGTCACAGTGCTAGTGGTGGGGTGGTTGTAGGTCTAAATCTTGAGACAGTCCACACCGTAGAGTTAGCTGGCATCCTCCTGTCCTTTTAATTCCAACTACTTTTCTCTGTGTGCCAGAACAACATTGTTCATGATGATATGTGGTTTAGTAAAACAGAATACAAACTGAGTTATTTTTTTCAGAATCATAATGGACCTGCATGAATTCTTAGGACAATATCCATTGATGTTTTCTTCATAGAAATTTCATAGTCACCCTATTTATTAGATAAGTAATAATGTTTTCTAAAAACTTCCAGAGATTAATCAAACGTAAAGATCCATTGCCAGAAGATGTCTTTCAGATGCCTATTACTTTTGTATACACACTCAGAAGGAAAAGAACAGAAAAGGAAGAGGAGATATCTTGAGAAAAAAAATTTTTAGAATCTTAAATGTAGTAAAACAACCATGTTCTACAGAGAGCATCAGTAACTGTAAATAGATATTTTTCCACCCTTTCAAAATGAGTGAGTGCTTGCACAAGGCTCATGATAATATAGTGTTTATTCTACTTCCTGTGGAGACAGAAGTGATGAATTCTGAATAATACATGGAACATGAAATATTTCCTACAAAACTATAATTGCACATGGAATTTATAGAACTATAAACTCCTTTGGTAAAGGAGTTTAACATGGTATCTTTTATCATTCTAAAATACTGTTTTCTAAACTCCTTTCCATAGAACACATCACTACTGAGATGATTGAAGACCCAAAGAACTTTTCAATAGTTTTTTAGAAGATGATACTGCATATTAGTGTGTTGTGTGCTTTGAGGAGTAAAGAAATGTTACTTGGATTTCTTTAGACTGAATTCACCAAATTATTTGACCATGGGACCCTTTTATTAAAAAAAGAGGAAACCTTTTACTATCCCACATTTTAGTGTTCTGCAAAGCACAACTTGGGTAACAGGGTTTTGAGGGATACACATAGACCAGTAGTGCTTATAATTTCTTCCTCTGTGCAAATACATTACTGAACTTCCATATTCATTTGACTTGGATGAGATATCAAAGGCAAAATCTGATAGCTGTGGCTTGTATATACTTTCATTCTCATTCATGCAATTATTCATTCTTTAATTAATGTGGGGCATCCCATATCTTACTTGGCACAGTATGGGGCCCAACAGGGAAGTTAAAAGATAGATAGGTTCTGCCTTCAGGGATTTTAAAGTCTAATTTGGATATGAGAACAGAAATGCAGTTTTGTGGGGGGAAAGAAAGTAAATTGACTAATAAGTATAATACAAAGTAGAATGTTTTGAGTTCTATATGACAAGTTATTTTCAAATTGCAACACATTGAGAAAGTACCTTTATTTGGATATTCCAGAAAATTTAAATCATGTAATCAGTTTTTAAAGTTGCATATGTGAATGCTTTTTAAAAAGTTATATAGAGAATGATCTTGCTTGTTATGTTTATTTCTCATAGATTGTTTTTGCATATATGAGAATGAAATTATTTATTTATTATGGTTGTATTATAGTTTCAAATAAACAAGAATAATATTTCCTTTTTTATTTACATGTTGGGTGAGGATGTTTTAACATCTCCATTTTCCTTACCATTATGTTTATAATTTATTTGGATGTGTCCAAATATAATTTCATATTTTTATTGGTTCAACTTTCACTCCAGAGAAATCTGTACAGTTTTGAGATGTTTTTCTTGTTTTTGTGTTGGCTAATTATAATTCCTAACTGAATAGCTTTATGTTTCAATTACCAAGTATATTTTTTTAAGAAATGGGTTAGATTCACATAAATGATTAGAAAAAGTTAGAAGTTCTAATTTTTTTAAACTCTCAACATTAGAAGCAGAAAATTTCCACAAAAATAGGGTGAAATTTAGAGTGTTAAGGCAAATTGACTATATATATGTTGTAAAATTTCATATTATGTGTTCTTGATGGAGTCCTTTTGTGTAATATTTATTTCTTTTGAATTTTTAAAAAATGTTGTTCTTAAACTCAAAGTGAAAGTGTTCTTTGTTGCTTTCAAATATTTTGGCTTTGGGTATAATACAAAGCTTGGGAAAATGCTATTTATGAAATTTCAGTACTGTATAAAGTGGTGATGGAATATATATGCAGCATCAATCACTTCCTTAAAATAAGAGAAACATAATTTGTTGTCAATATTTCAGCATGAACTTGTTGCCTTATCATCTATATGTGTAATTGGTACAGATTCTGTTGTGTGCTTTCTCCTATGTCTGAAATATTTGGCATGTCACATCTAGAATTGTTAATTTATGTTCTGACTTGAAAATTAAGTGAAATATGACTGTGTCATGCACTAATTTAGGTGTAGCACTTGCTTTTTGTCTTTACACTTTCAATTAACTTTGCATTTTAAATTCTATGGTTGTATGAAAATAATATCCTAATTGCAGTGTCTGAAGACTTAAAAATAAGCTTTATTTTAAAATGAAGATCTACAATAGATTCATTAGGTTAGAAATTTTATAGTAATTTAATTTTTACTTTAGTAGAATCATTAAACAAAATGAAACAAAACTACTGCTATGCTGGAATTTTGCCACCATGTAACTTATGGGGCAGAGAGAACTCAGGGCTATTTTAGAGTTTATGCAAAAGGACCAGGGCACTGCCTCGCAAATCACCAGAAAGCGGGGAACCCACGTTTGCCATTATACAAAACTCAATTGTAAAATTGCTTTGCAGGAAATAGCTTTTGATTAATTATTTAACATAAATGTGGGAATGTATTTTGCTTAAATAAATTTATTTAAATTATAGACATTTTATTTTCCACTATGAAATTAAGAAAATAACTACTGTAGAGTTGATGGCAGTTGATGTCTTCAATAATCATTCCTTTAAATAAATTTACAAATACAACATTTTAAGGTACTTGGAAATGTTTGAGAATTAGTATCTTAACATGCTGTTGTCGTGGTCTTTGAAGATATTCTAAATATCAGTTCTTTTGTGAAACACACTACTTCTATGTTTGACAATGCCTTATATTGGCTCCCTTCATAAATTAATACCTAAACTGGACTTTATGCACTATTTAGTGAAGGCAGTAATCTTTTTGCTTCTGAGGGCTTCTTCTAAATAGGAAAAAATGTCAGTTGGAAAATTAAAAAAATTATTAAAGTGTTAAGGTTAAAAAATTTCTATAATAGGCAGTTTTTCAAAAACCTTTCAATGAAAATTTTCAGATATCTGACTTTTTTCCCTTTAGCTTTTTTAATGTTTCATTCTTTTTCACACCTCCTTTTCCCTAAGCCTTTCAAAATTATCTTTAGTCTCTAATTTAAAAAAATAACAGCTATTCATTTAATCATCCTAGTACTTAGCCTTCTAATGATGGAGAATCTCTTGGTGGTCTAAATTATTTCAGATATGTCACAGAGAAAAACAAAAACCAGACCTTGGAATTTGTAAAGGATATTAAAACATTTATAATTCAGTTCCATATTTTATAGATGAAGAAACCAAGGATCGGAGATGAAATGATTGCTAGTTATTAGCAGAACTGTTGCGAGACCCCAGTGGGAACAGCCACCATGTGCCCCACCATGCCTGGCATTTGCTAGTTTGAAAATGATTAAAATACATCTAAAGCTACCTTAATGTATACTACATAATGTGCCATTTAATGATGATGATTAAATCCTACTCTTTATTTCTGCTGAAGTAATTTGCTCACTCATGGTGAGGTCAGTGAGAAAAACTAAAATAAGCTAAGGAAGAATTTTAAAAAGCCAGGTAGTGCTGAATAAAATTTAGGAATTGTGAGAACGTGAAATTTCTTAGGGCAAGTAATGATAAAAGATGCCTCCTAACTTTTCTCTCTCCTTTCTTTCAGACTGTTGTTCCTCTTTATGCATTGGGATGGGACTGAAAGATGATTTGGTAGTTTAATTCGAAACAATATCTATAGCATGTTATCTTACCTCTCTCCTAGTTTCTCATTAGTGTATCTTTGGCATTCATTTTTTTTAGCATGTTAAAAAACTCTTTGCTGAATTTCCTCAATTCTAAACACTCTATAATTCCTGTTCTTCTCGTACTCTAGCCTTTGTTAGATTGCTGCACACTGAACTTGACAAGATTTTAATTTCCCATACCTACATACGAGAGTTTGCATCTCATGCTTTCTCTAGTAATTTTTAATTTGACATGATGAACAGGGTGTTTGTTAAAGGCAGAGAACACTTTCTTTTAAAAAGAAATTAAAAAATATCAGTCTAGTTGTATTCTAGCTTTGAGCTAACATATAAGAAATGTGTCTACATTTTCCTTAATGCTGAACTTCACATGATGGTAACTTGAACGGAGAATGTGAAATATATATCCCATAATGTGATCGCAAAAGTTATCTCTGCTATGCAGTGTACTATTGCTTTGTTTTGCTTGGGCCATCTTTTAAAATTAAACCATTATACCATATAGTTTGAATATAATACTATATTGAAATCAGTTAATAATCCCCATTTTAATATCCCACTAATAAAGGCTGTAAGGATACTTTTTAATTCAGTTGTAGACTTAATACAACATTTGGGAGAGTATCTCATCTTAGGTTTTAATATTTTCAGATATAAGTATATTTTCTTATTATTGGTCCATCATGTTATGTGATGTTTTTCTCTCTGAATCTAATAGTTTTAACTGCAAGATGTTTACCCCAAGGTACTGCAAACCTGAATGGTGAGGGAGTTAGCCTGTACTGAGCATCACCAGGTCCGGCTGGGCAGGTGTGCTCTGCACAAACACCGTCAGCTGAGGGGCAGACAGGGGCTGAAATCCAAGCTGCAACTGGCTACTCAACTCGGAAATATTTTTATATTTTGCAGGAAATCACCTTGTGTGCTTATATATCTTCAGAAAAGTACCCTGCTTATACATCTTCAGAAAACAAGATTAAAACTTCGAAGTGGTTCTTGGCATCCAAAAATACAATAGAAAACTTTGAAAAATTAGATTTTCATCCTAGCATTCCTAAGAGAGCAAAAGAAATTATACAACTTATCCTATTGATTAAAATTTTCAACTCGAACATTCTGCACCAAAACACATACCCTAATTTTGATATCTCTATTGAGTTTTCATTTCATGTGCAAACTTATTCATTGACTTTGCCTGTAAAGAAGCAGTTGCATGCCTAAGTTCTAATGCAGGTACAGAATGATATTTCCCATGTTTCCATTTCCTCCAGTAGGCTAATGACAAGTAAACAAATATTTTTTTAAAATCCAGGTCCTTTTTTCTTCTTTATATACCGTAAGGGTACCTGAGCCAAAATATTAAATTCCAGCTCATTTTCACAATAACTAGTATCAAGGTGTTCTAGTCTTCGATCCTAGACTGGAGAAAATTATTCAAACTTAATCTGAGTTTCAGGTTTTAAAATGTCCTAAAAACAGAAAATTAGATTCAGATCTCAAAAAAAAAAAAAGAGAGGAATTTTCAGTTGACTTGCAAAGTACTAATATTAATTATACTTTTGGTGATGTGACTTTTCTCATATCTAAGAGCATATTACAAATGTCAAAACCATTGCAGTTTGACACTGCAAAACATGCTTTGAACTCTTGAACTACTGTGAAAAAAATCACTGTTGTAAAGACTTAGTGTAACCTGGCTGATACTCTTAAAAAGGTAAAAGATATTACCTTTTAAAAGACAGGTTCAAATGAATGTATATAAGGAATATGGAGCAATAGGTTTTAAAATGAGGATTTGTCAATAAATGGTATCAAAAAATAAGCAGATGGCAATTTTAATAGTTAAAATTAATTGTTGAAGCTGGACAGAATTCTAAATTCCAAAGAGAAATGAATGATATTCAGATGATTCATTGATTTCTAGTCTATGGAAATATACATTATATATATATATATATATATATATATATATACACACACACACATAACTTATAAGTATATATAACATAAGTATATATAAGTTTAAGTATATATAACTTATTATAAGTATATGTACTTATTTTATTTAGAAATAATAGTGTTTTAAATTTAGTAAAAACTCAGTGGTAGCCTTCATACCAAAATGTTTAACTTTACCAACAGCAAGTCATGAAAGTATTTATTTTAAAGCTTTTTAATGTAACCTAACTTTCAGCTGTAAGTACTTACTTGCCTAAATGTAATATTTTTATGTATACATTTTCTGAAAATGTATTGTTTTGTAAAGTGGTAAAGATAATAAATTAAGCACTCCTTGCACTTGTTTCTGTGAAGCATATAGAGTTCTATTTTAAATAAAAAGAAATGTGTCATATTTTGGTTTCTATGAAGTTATGTTCTATTACTTTAAAATTGTATTTATATTTGCATGCATTATTTGGAGGGAGTTTTGGAAATTTAAATGTTGGCTTATGTGGG